AGGTTATTAGAAAAAAGAGAAAGATTAATTTACATTATTTCAGGCAAAGCCACCTTCCCTCAGGAGTAGGGAGGGGAGTCTTTCGTGTAGATCACTTTAGCAGTACTGACCAGGAAATGCCAGTTTGATTCATTTAAAATTCCATTTTGGGGAGAAGTTGAAACTGAGTTAGGTTAGGTGTTAAGTCTTGGTGTAGGCTGACATAAATTATTCCATTTTAGGTCTGTATTTCTTTACTCCTATTTCTAGTTATTAATCACAAGGCAAGAAAAGTCTTACTAAATGTGATAGCTTAGACGAAAAGATAAAGGATATGAGCTTAAGTTTTCAATAGAAAGTGTTACAGGGCAGGGTGAAGGGCACCCCAGGACCCCCAAACTTGCCAATCTAAATAGGTTCTGCCAATCGCTGCATCAAGACAAATACACTCTAGTGAGTAAGACCTTTAGTAATGAAGAACTTTAATACAATGAGTGTGTGACAAAGAATATAGTTTCCAAATCAAGCACCCTAAGTTATCCATCCCCTCATGGGTAAATGTCCAGCCAAAAACTGGGTTGGCCCAAAGCAGGACCACTGAGGCCCGGAAATCCCACCACAAGTCTAAGGCACCTCCTGGTGGGGACCCATAGGAAAGGGGCCGAAGAGGCTTAGCATGTCTGGGCCTGAAGGAACAAAAATAAAATCAAGTTAAAATTGCAGTTGATAACCTCCCCACGGGTCTCCCACCTACATCTGGTTCAACCAGTCCAAGAGCAAGAAGCAAGTGCAGCTTCTTCACATGTCTCTGCTCCATGTGTCTCTTTCTGGCTCTCCATCCTTCTTCCTCCCTCCATCTTCTCCTCCTTCTTGCTCAGCTCCACCCTTCCTTGGGTGGGGCAGGGAACCTGGAACCTCCCCTTTCCCTGGGGACCACCCTGTTACAAAAGTTATAAAGCTTTTGTATTAAAAATAATTACCTTAAACACAACTACAAGTTAAAAACCATCTGGGGAAAAATACTTTCAATATAAAACAGAAAAAAAGATTAATGGCTTTAATATATAAACACTTATAAATTAAGATATAAGTAGCAGTATAAAAGGGGAAATATTTACTGATGTTGAAAGAAATGCTGCTTAGTCAGTTTTCTATTTTCGGGTAAAATGGAAAAGTACTGACTCTTGCCCCCTCCATATGCTAACTGCAGATGCGGTAACCGCAAGGAATGCAGAGCCCCATTGTATATCTGATATTTCGGAGTAAAATGAAATTTTAAAACCAAGCAAATGTACACTGATAACATAAAACAGGCCAGATGACCTCAAAAGGAACAACAGGGGTTTTCAACGTATATTACCATTATGGAAAGGAATTTAGGCAATGTACAGGAAGATTGTAAGCCCCTAGGTACTCAGCCAATGAGAAAAGGGGGAAGGGACTTGCACACTAGAGTATATAAACTGAATAAAAATGTTCTTTGGTGTGCTGGCATATGGGCTAGTATCCACCCTACAGGACATTCAATCAAGTTTCATTTCCTGTTGTATTCAGTTTCTGGGGTTCAGACAGGTGACGTTACTTCTCACAATGTGAGTCACAAGAGAGCAAATACAAATGACAAAAAACCACATCTCAGCTTCATGACGAAGCAAAAATACCAACTTTACCACTTGAAACTACCTAAAAGAAAGTTTTTGACCCATAACATTGGCAAAAATTATAAATCAGAAGAGCTTTATTTTAGACAATTTGATTATATGAATTAAAAGCCTTAATAAATTTTGGTTTTATCATTTGGATAAAGAAAGTGTCTTCCAGTCATATATAACATCTACTCCCATAAAAAGGAAAATCTCTTCAACAAATGGTATTGGAAAAATTGGACAGCCACATGCAAAGGAATGAAACTTGATCACTCTCTAACTCACACAAAAATAAATTCAAAATGTATTAAAGACTTGGACATAATATTCAAAACTATAAAATACATAGAAATAGACAAGTAATACACTCCATGATAACAATTAGAGATGTCTTTGGGGACTTGACCCCATCGGTAAAGGAAACAAAAGCAAAAATAAACAAATGGGACTATACCAAAGAAAATGCTTCTGTATAGCAAAATAAATGTTCAGCAGTAAAATACAGCCTACTGAAGGGGAGAAAATATTTGCACATCACATGTCCAGGTGAACTTGGACAACAGAACTATTGATACAACAAAAAAAATAAACAATCCAGTTAAAAAATGGTCAGAAGATCTGAATAGACACTTCTCCAAAGAGGACATAAAGATGGCTAACATCTGAAAAAATGCTTATCTCTTTTTATCAGGGATATGAAATAGAAAGCACAATAAGATATCATTTCACAACTATTATAGTGACTTACATCAAAAGGAGTATAACAAGTGTTTGCAAGGGTGTGCAAAAAAAAAAAAAAGGGAACCATCATACACTGTTGGTGGGACTATTAACTAGTGCAATTATTTTGGAAAACAGCAGAGAGCTTCCTCAAGTAACTAAAAATAGTGCTACCATATGACCCAGCAATCTCACTTCTGGGTATCTATGTTAGAAAATTATTAACTCTAACTCTCGAAGAGTTAAATGCCCGTCCATGCACACTGCAGCACTTTTTTTTTTTTTTAAGATTTATTTATTTATACAGCACTGGGTACAGTCGGAAGCGCGGGAGGGTGTGAGAATTCACCAGCGCCAGAGCGGGGGAACAGAACAGGCAGACTGACGAAATACACTGCTGAGGGGAGCAGCGGGCGGCAGGAGAGGTCTGTGCGCCACGTGGGACCCTTGCCCAGCACTGCAGGGGATGCGGGCAGCTTCGCAGCCCAGCGCTCAACCACTGTGCCGCCAGGGAAGGCCCCTGCAGCACTTTTTACAACAGCCAATATATAGAAACAATCTAACCGTGCATTAATGGATGATAGGATAAAGATAAGGTACAAACACACAATAGAAGACAATTCAGATGTAAGAACACATGAAAATTCACCATTTGCAGCAAATGGAAGAAACTCAAGAGTTTTTTTTAAGTGAAATAAAACAGAGGGCAAAAGACAAATATCTGCAGAATATAAGGAAACAAAGTAGATCAAGTGACAAAACAAAATAAAAATAAACCAATGAACTTGAACAACAGAACTGAGGTTACCAAAGGGGGAAAGGTGGTAGTTGGGAGGGGCAAGGGTGACAATTATTGGGTTGTGCTTTCTTTTATTATCAATTTTTTTTTTTTATTCTTGGGCCTCCCTGGTGGTGCAAGGGGTTTAGTACTGTACTGTGAAGCAATCCGCAGCCTCTGCAGTACGAGTTCCATGCCCAACCGGCCAGGGAGAATCCCACACGGCGCAGCAGACCTCTCCTGTCTCGCCCGCTGCTCCCCTCAGCAGTGTATTTCATAAGTCTGCCTGTTCTGCTCCCCACTCTGTCTCTGGTGAATCCTCCCCCACCCCCAACCCGGCATCTCTGGCCTGTACCCCAGCTCTTGTATGCATAAATAAATCTTAAATAAAAAAATTTATTCTCAAATGAGTGAAAAACGAGTATAAAGAAATGCACAAAGAAAGACTTACACTGTGTTGGTTCCATGAGGAGACTGTATTCACATTGAAATTCAGGTACTGTGAAATGGCGGCATTGTGAAATGTAGCAGACCACGCAAGGTCTAAGCTTGAGTTCGCGCAGGAGGACAGTTTGGGCTGTGGGAAAATTCCAAGTCAAAACAATAGCGGCCCGGTTCCCATCAAAAATAAGATGTATGGACCCTTTGTACCTAAAACATGGGATGTGGTGAAGCGCTCTGCTGCTTCCAACAGCACAGTTTGGCTTCTGTACCCTACTTGCTGTGGTAACTGCAAACTACCGGTTGTGGTTTTTGGCTTTAAAAACCCTTATCACCCCCTGCTCGGGGCTGCTCCCTACCAGAGGGACAGTCACCTCCCTGGCTGGCTAATAAAGGCTTTCTCTAAATTTGATTTAGATTCCGGTCTGTGTCTACTGGGAAACTCTAAAGCAATACAAAATGTTTATACAGACGTCACAAAGGTACTAGTGATTCAGTTGTTGCTACTCATTTTTACTCATTAGATGTAGATACCAACAAGAAAAAAAGAAGTGTAATTTTAGGGAATAAACACAATTATTTCTATAACTGTGTTGTTAACATGCTACACAGACATGTCTGCCACAAAAAAATCCCAGAGACGTTCAATGCGAATTCAAGTCCGCAAGCTGACACTTTGCTGATTTTCCAGTCATTTAAAAACCTTTACATATATATCATGGGTTAAAAACTGCAAGCCCTGGTCTTTGCACTCCTCTTACCAGTTGTATCAAACTATCCAAGATAGTATGATTATGCCAATTACACTACTAGACAATGTTTAAAATCTAAGTATTCTTTAAATTAACCCCAATCCTTAATTTTATAAACGCAAAGACTGAATGAAACCTTTCGCTCCTCCATCTTCCCCCCCCCATGGAACGTCGCCGCAGCGTTCTAGACGTCACAACCCCTGAACCGCGCGTTCTAGAACTCCCCATGCTCGTCTATTACACTTCAGAAACAATTAACGTGGCAGATCCACCGCGATGTTATAACAATACGTCGCTAAGTAACGCGTTTACACCGTCAGCAGTTTTTTACAGTTTTGCATATAAGCCCTCAGCGGCCTCTGGCAGGCGAAAGTTCGCGGCTCCCCGCACAGGGGCCCAACACCCAGCGCCCCAACACCCAGCGCCTTCAGGGTGAAGTCGTCAGTCGAAGGCGTCCGAGCGACCCCCAGCGCGCAGCGGGGGAAGAGCGCCCGCCTGGCCGCGTCCACCCCCCAAGCAGGGTGCCCGCGCCTCCGCCGCCCGTCACCTCCCCGAAAAGCGCCGTCGCCTGTGCGCCGGCGCAGGCCCCGCCCCCGCCGCGCCCCGCCCCGCCGCGCCCCGCCGCGCCTCACCGGCCCCGCCCTGCCGCTCTCTCCGCCGCGCCGCCCGCGGCCCCAGGCCCAGCGTGCCCCGCCCCCGCCGTCGCGCGCGGCGCTGCGGCGGCGGAAGTATGGAGGGCGAGAGTACGTCGGCGGTGCTCTCGGGCTTTGTGCTCGGCGCGCTCGCATTCCAGCACCTTAACACCGACTCGGACACGGTGAGCCGTGGGGCGGGACGGGCTGCGGCGGCGCTCGGGAAGCGGGCCTGCGCGCGGGCACCCTCCCCGCCGCCGCGCCGGAGCTCGCCCGCGAGCCCCTCGACGCTGCATCGCCCTCTGCCCGCGGGTCTCTGCCTTCTCCCGCACCCGGGCCGTCTTCGACGTGCCCCGCCCGCTCGGGCTTTTCCAGGATTAGTCCTCTTCTAACCAGTTTATTCCATGCCCGGCACGAAGGCCCCACACCCCCATTACTCTCTTTCAACAGCCCCCCTTTTTTCTTGCTAAACTTGGTTGTAAGAGGATGGAAAGTTCACGCAGTGATTTCCCGCTCCCGCCAGGGAGACTACCGGTTAACTTACCTTTTCTCCAAACTACCTACAGTCGTTTTCAAAGACAAACTAATTTTTTTCATGCAGTGTACCTACCGTGCATGTTTGTTGAAGTGGTAGACTGGTAAGGGGATAATAGGTGTTACATCCAATAAAAGTTTTTAGATCTTAGTGAATGAAAAAGCTTTTCTGGTATATCGGATATCTTGTTTGCATTATGATGTAAATTTGCTGTAAGGAACTCAGCTAGTTCCTTTTCTGACGCTTCCAGTTACAATTTAAACTTAGTTTTATCTTCAAATACTTAAATGTTTCATATTTCTGTCAAGATTTAAAACCTGGTGAAGTTGAGTAGTGAAGGTTTTTTTAAAAAAAATGCTTATTTTCTAAAACTTTATTTTTATGAAATTTTAAAACACGGCACTGTTAAAACTTTGAGCCAACGTAGCGTCTTAAGGGCTTAGTACTTGCTAATACAGTTTAGAGAATACCATAAAGCCAAAGTCTAGGAATTTCTGCCCTTTTAAAATGGAAGGTCTGCGTTATAAAAAGTTTCTTGGGGCATAATTCTAAAGTTGGACTTGATATCTTTAGTGTATACAATTTAGCCTTGTAGATGGACACCTACCAAGAGCGATATATGACAACTTAAAATGTATGTATTGCAATGTATTAATGTAAACAACAGAATTGGTCCCATCTGCCCATAATCTTAAAGGACTAGCGCTCGAAAAGTACGGTGTTAGAGAGGCCCTTGTTTCTTAGATCTTTTCCCTAAACTCTTAAGTCTAAAGGATGGTTTTTTAGATAGTCGTACTTGCATTTTTCGTTGCTTCTTTTCCCAGGGTTTCTCCTTGGAAGTATCAAAATTAACACTGGAATGTACATTTCTAGATTGTTTCCCCTGGTTTCTGATAAAGATTCATTCACATTGTGGAGGCATCCCTTTTAATAAAGCGGGGGAGGACACTCAGCTAATTACAAAGATGACCAAATCACTGTCTGTCAAGCACATTGGTATTTTAAATGTGTTAATTTTCCGAAATTTAAAGATATCACCATGGTTGGGGCAAAATGCCAGTGTTTTTAAAAGAACCAGGGATCAAAGTTCCCCTTTTAGAAAGCAGATTCTGACACTGAATTCCAAATCTTGAATATTTTGCATGATTTTTATTTTAAAAACACTGATCATTATGTCATTTCATAATTCAGAATCCTCCACTGGCTCCTAGATGGATGTGCAGAGTCCATGGCTAGACATTCAGGGTTTTTATTGGTGCTAATCCTGTCTGTATGATTTCCTTACTCACAAATGAGTCTTCTGTTTTAAGAATTGCTCTGTTCCTCCTCCCTCAAACATCTTTGTATGCTCAAGTTTTTTGTTTTTTTTTTTGGGGGGGGGGATTGTTTTAAGCCGTTTATGCTAAAATGACAATGGTATTTATAATCTCTCCTACTCTTTTTATCTAACTGGTCATGTTTCCCATCTAAACTGCAAGTGCATCTTCTATGTGCCCCCCAATAGGTAGCACTCATTTGTGTACATCCTAATATACTTAAGAAATATTATTTAATTAAATGACTGGTTATTTTATCTCTGTTTTCCATATACTACTTATTTTTATCCTCATAGGAAGGTTTTCTCCTTGGGGAAGTGAAAGGTGAAGCCAAAAATAGTATAACGGATTCCCAGATGGATGATGTTGAAGTTATTTATACAATTGGTGAGTCACTTATTTGTCTCCTATTGATAGTTTATGCTGAAAGGGATAAGCATAATTTTTTTAATTGTTAAAAAATAGGTACCAAGTTTTAAAAGTAAATTTTGAAAGGATACATTGCACTCATTTCTCAATTAAAATTAGGACAATGCACTGACCTAAAGGAAGAAGCAGTATAAGACATGGGAAGCAGGTAAGATTACAGTGGGGAAAAGGATGACACAGTTCTTGCATATATTTGAATGGCAGAAGGATGATCCAGCAAAAAGAAACCTCGGTGATTAGATCATTGAAAACATTAAGTAACTCTTGAGTGTTACAGCAAAAAGGATAGACTGCAAAGGGTTTGAGGAATGGTATGAAGTGTGAAGGAGCTGCAGGTGGTGGCAGTCATTCTTTCAGGAAAAAAAGAGAAATGGAAGTTTTTTAAGTGCGTATATAGGTTAAAATTGGTGGTATATTAAAAAGTCATCATGACATACTGTTTCATCAACATTTTCCCATGTTAAGTAATATATCATTTTTTAATAACTGCATTGTGTTCTCTATGACCTTTTATGACTGTCATTTCAGCAGACCTTTAAATAATGTTTATTAATTTTTTATTATACTGAACATCTTTGTCATAAGTATTTTCTACAACTATTATAACTAGAAACCTAGAAATGGTATTATAATGTAAAAGGATATGAATATTTTCTTTTTTAAAAGATTTATATTTTTAGGGCCTCCCCTGTGGTGCAGTGGTTGAGCGCAGGGTTGCGAAGCTGCCCGCAGCCTCTGCAGCGCCGGTTCGATCCCCAGCCGCGGGGAAGAGTCCCACATGGCACGCAGACCTCTCCTGCCACCCGCTGCTCCCCTCAGCAGTGTACTTCATTGGTCTGCCTGTTCTGTTCCCTGCTCTGGCTCTGGTGAATTCTCTCACCTTCCCGCGATTCTGACTGTACCCAGTGTTTGTATAAATAAATAAATAAATCTTAAAAATAAAAAAATAAAAGATTTATATTTTTAGTAGAAGAACTGGGGTGTAGTCCAGAGGTGGTACAGGGGGTGAGAGGATTCACCAGAGACAGAGTAAGGAGCAGAACAGGTGGATTTAACTGAAATACACTGCTAAGGGGAGCAGTAGGCAAGACAAGAGAGGTCTGCTTCATCATATATGGGTTAGCTCCCTGGCCAGATGGAACTCAGACTGCAGAGGTGATAGTGCTGAGACTTAACCCCTAGGCCACAGGAGGCCCTGATCTGAATATTTTTAAGGTTCCTCATCTGTACTAGCAACTTGCTGTTCAGAAATATATCAGTTTATACTGCTGGGCTGTCGGAAAAGTCATTACACATTTTGCTTGAAAAACACAGAAAAAATACGTCATGACTCTTCTGACAACCAAATAACACTGTATATCAAGAAGAGTGTGTGTGCGTGTGTGTGTGTGTGTATATATATATATATATGTAATATATAAATATAAAATAAATAAACAGGTGTAAAGTGCATTTAAACTCTGGTTAGAGTCCTCTGTGCCAACCACTGCTAGTTTCAGGGGTATTTTTTTATTTTAACTCCTTAGCAATACACATAACACATACATAAATGTGTATGTATTTTTATTTACACAAATGGGATCATAATATACATGTATAAATACCTCCAAGATGTCATTGATGCAAAATAGTTTGCCATTCTTTTCTAATGGTTGTGTACTCCCATTGTATGGATGTACCATAACTTATTTAAGCAGCTGTGAATAACTTTCTTTTTGTTAATACAGAATATTACAACTAATACATTATAGTGCATACATCTTTGAGTATCTCTGAAAGTCAAATTCCTAGAGGTAGACAATTGCTTTTTGGAAAACTTACACATTTTAAGACTCTTCTATCTTATGTAAAATTGCCTGGGTGTCCATACTTTTGCCAACATTAAATATTAACAAATCTTTGTATCTTTGTCAAATGGTAAGTTAAAAAGTGATGTTTTGCATCTCTTAATTATTAATGAGAGTATTACTTATTTGACTTTTTTAAGGTGAAGTATGTTTTCTGTATCTTGACTATATTCCTATTAGGCTATTTTGTTTTTTCTTACTGCACTATAATACTATACTATAACTTAAGGAAGTTGGCCTTTTTTCATGTTACATACATTTATATAGTTTGTGATTTTATTTCAGTAGTATTATTTTTTTCTGCTCAGACATTTCAGTTTTAAAAGCAAGCCCTGAGGGCATATTTGTCCTAATTGGAATGCTGCTAAAAGTATCTACCATATTTTGAGTAGTTTAATTATGCAACTATTTATTGAACAACTCCATTGTGCTAGGAACAATGCTAAGCTTTAAGGTACCAGACCAAATGCTAAAAAAAAAAAAAAACCACTTATTTGTTCAAATTTATATTAAAATGTTGGATTACTTTAAAACAGATGGCTAAGAGGTAAAATCCAAGACAAGTACTACATTGTTTTGGTTAATGAGATTTCCATAATCTTATACTTTCGCTTGTCTGCATCAGAATACAGCAGCTCATTGAATAAAGTCATTTTATTCAACATCATTTCATTATAACATTGATAAGAAAAAATAACCACAATGGTGACTGAAATGACATTATTCAAGATCTACTTTTTTTTTCTTTTAAAGATTTATTTATTTATTTATTTATTTTGTTTTTTATTACAAGTGCTGGGGTACAGGACAGAGGCGTGGGAGGGTGAGAGGATTCACCAGAGACAGAGCGGGGAGCAGAACAGGAAGACGACTGAAATACACTGCTGAGGGGAGCAGCGGGAAGACAGGAGAGGTCTGCCGCTCCATGTGGGAATCTCCCTGGCCGGCTGGGAATCGAACCGGCGCTGCAGAGGCTGTGCAGCTTCACAATGCTGTGCTTTACCCACTGCGCCACGAGAGAGGCCCTCAAAATCTACTTTCGTTTATCAACACTGTTGAATGAGGACTTACTGTGTTTGCCTATCAGTTAACAAAAACTGTTTTCTTGTGTAGTATTTTTTCAGACACAGGGATTTATCTGAGGGTACCATACATTTACTAGAAGAAAAATGTCTAAGGAGGATGATCACTTTTCCTCTTAAATGTGGTACTTGAATTGGCAAGAAAATAAAATTCAACTCTTTAGATTTTTTTCTCTGTAATCTAGTTATATTCATGAACCCTTTATGAAACGACTACTTGGCTGAACAAAAGATAATCTAATAGCTATTTTTTATAAATTGGGTAATATTAGAGCATAACCTTTTAAGAACTCAGTGAAAATAAAGCAACTTGACCTTATCTTTTGTGTTACCTATTTAAATTTAGAATGCAGCATTCTGGTTACAAATGAGGCTCTGAGTTTGAATTTTGGCATCACCATGAGAATGGGTAACTCACTTAACCTCTCTGCTACCTTTAAAATGAAAAGAATAACATCTTTCTCAGGTTTATTGTGAGGGTTAAAGGAAATAATGATGAAGTATATCCTAATAAGGTGTTCAATGTGTTTATTGCCATGATAATAATGTAATCATGACTAAAATTCTTTTTTTTCCCCAGATATTCAAAAATATATTCCATGCTATCAGCTTTTTAGGTGAGTAGCAAGTAAATGAATCCTGTGAAAATTAATCTCTACAAATAAAATATTTTAAACTAACAGAACCTTATAGTTGTTTTTTTTTTAAAGATTTATTTTTATTTATACATACAAGAACTGGGGAATAGGCCAGAGACAGGGGGGTTGGTGAGGATTCACCAGAAACAGAGACACAGTGGGGAGCAGAACAGGCAGATTGACTGAAATACACTGCTGAGGGGAGCAGCGGGCAAGACAGGAGAGGTCTGCTACGCCATGTGTGTCACTTCCCTGGGCCACTTCCCTGGCTGGGGGATAGAACTTGTGCTGCACTGGCTGCTGATAGCTTCATAGTGCTGAGACTTAACCCCTTGTGCCACTAGGGAGGCCCAGTACCTTATAGTTATGATGGTGGTACTATTTAAAAAGATTTCCTTTTAATTACCCATGAGTTTTAACTTGAATAGTTTTTTCTCTGTATTTATATGCTCAATTTAACTGGTCTGCACTGACTCTTCCAGGCACCTGTTTACCTTGAGGAGTTCTCGCCTTCTTATACCCTTGTTGCATATTATAAACTCAGTGACAAATTCTCATACATCAATGACAGCCCTTTTTTATATGCTTTTATTCCAGTTTATTATCTTTTTTCTTCATCTATATAGTACCTTGTTATTTTCCGTCAAACCAATTAGTTTTTTTTACATAACCTGCTTCCTCTTGCTTTTCTAGGGTGAAAATCTGCACTGTTAGTCCTACCGATAGTAGTTGTTAAGGCCTAATAGACTGATATTTTTTAAAACTTTTTTATTGAGGTATAACATAGATATAGAAAAGTGCACTAATAAATGAATTTTCATAAAACAGACACCTGTAATCACAGCACTGTAATTTTAATAAAACAGCTTTATGATTTATATAAACTTAGATGAAAATCCCTTAGAGTCATACTATTATGTATATTATCTCTAAGGTTGTGTAAGAGTTGTAGTGGAACATATAGTAAAGGTGAGAAAACTATGGGAGGGGAGGACAGAAATAAAGCCTTAGTGTGGTTTTAAACTGCTGTCCCAGAAAGAGGCATAGTTCCTATGTGTTTTACATACAATGAATGTACAAAAATATCTGTTGAATGAGGGGGATTCTTGGTGGAGACTTAATAAAAGTACTTCCTTGCCAGATACTGGACCAGCAAAGTATTAAGAAGGGAGAGTGAAAAACAAAGTAATTCATTATTTTTTGGCACTTACTTTATATTATCAGACCAACTTATTGAGTCTTGGAGCAAGGAACCTCAGATCTAGTGATGAGAAGCCCATGCCTCAGACTTTAGCTTTATAAATTAAATGAGGAAGGGAGGTCATAAACCATCAAAATGGCTTATTTGAAAATATTTACTGCCTACTTCATTTTCCAAAATACCAGGCCTAAAAAGTTCATCAGGTAGCCACAGGTTAATAGTATGACAAAAACTAGATGAATCAGGATTTTTGATTTCTAATCCAACAGCATACCATGCTGTTTCTGCCTTGTTTTAAATAATACAAGTGAACATGTTAAAAACAGTCTGCTGATACCATATTTCTTAGAGTCCAAGTTCAATAAGCTTTTAACAGCCAGGTTTATGTTTTTTTTTTTTTTTTTTAATAGAGGCATGTTTTATTTATTTATTTGTTTATTTGTTTGTTTTGTTTATACATGCACTGGGTACAGTCAGAAGCACGGGAGGGTGAGAGAATTCACTAGAGCCAGAGCGGGGAGCAGAGCAGGCAGAGGGACCGAAGTACACTGCTGAGGGGAGCAGCGGGCGGCAGGAGAGGTCTGCGCGCCATGTGGGACCCTCCTCTGGTGGCCGGGGAGCAGCCGGGGATCGAACCGGCGCTGCAGAGGCCGCGGGCAGCGTCGCAACCCAGCGCTCAACCGCTGCGCCACCGGGGAGGCCCCAGGTTTATGTTTTAATAGAGAGTGGCAAAGTTTGGCCTCACCACCTATTTTTATGTGATTATTAGGAAGGGTTGTAAAACAACAACAAAAAAATGCATTTCCAGCGAAGCTAAAAATATGTAACTACTTGATTCTTTACAGAAAAAGTTTGCCAATCCTGCCCTAAACATTGCTTTTCAGTGTTTTCCACTGAAATACACTGATTCACTTACTCCAGGAACCTGAGAGAAGTACCTGAAAAATAGCCCACTGAATACTAAAACTTAGTCACTTAAGAAAATTATGTACTTGAACATGAATTTTGTTGCACAGTTCATCTATTTCTGTATGAAAATGTCTCCTCTCCAAGAAACTTCACATAAAATCAGTATTTGCACAGATGATGTACATAGTTATCCTGCTGTTCTTTATACGCCCTGGTGTGTTGTCTTATGCCCCAGTTTGAGAGTCTCAAAAGTGGGCCACCTAGAGAAACAGAGAAGTAAAGTCTTATATTTAGTCTTTTCATGTGGTCCATGAGCAATGAAAAAATGGAGCAGAAACAATAAAAGTAACATAGAGGGATTTGTTTGATCAGCTGAATATCCCCCTTTGGTAGACAGGACACTTAGTTTTCCCATTAAAATTGATTTTTTCAGTTTTATGTAACTAGATTAGAATTACCAGTAAGAGCCTATTAATATTATTTGTAAAGGATTTTGCATAACATTTCACCATCATAGAAAAGAATACTGATCTCAGTATTAAAGAGAAAAATATTACTTGTAATCTATATCACTTGAGGGAAAAGAAAGCTAGACGTAAATACTTGAGAATCTTTTAGAGTTATCTTCCAATTTTCCTTACATCTGTGACATTCTAACTATTGAAGATCACTAAACTAAACCAGTACTGTTCCTCAATAATTCCCCAAAAATCTAGTCAAAACCTAAAATACTTCTGTTAATTTTTTATATACCTTTTAAAATTTGCAATGAGTAAAATGTTTTGTTACTGAATTCCATTACTCATGTTACACATTCTTTTGTATCCTAAGTTTTCGATTAAAAAATTCTTTTTTAAATATTTATTTATACATATAAGAGCTGGGGTGCATATCAGAGGTGCAGGGGGGTGAGAGGATTCACCAGAACAGAGTGGGGAGCAGAACAGGCAGATTGACCAAAATACACTGGCAAGACAGGAGAGTTCTGCTCCGGCATGTGGGTAACCTCCCTGGCCAGGGATGGAACTCATACTGTAGTGACTGTGGATAGCTTCATAGTGTTGACACTTAACCCCTTGAGCCACCAGGGAAGCCCCTTAAAAATTCTTTTGTATCAGGGCCTCCCTGGTGGTGCAGTGGTTGAGCCCTGGGCTGCAAGGCTACCCCAGCCTCTGCAACTCCCCTTCGATCCCCGGCCTCCGGGTGAGGATCCCACATGGCGCGCAGACCTCTCCTGCCGCACCCACTGGTCCCCTCAGCAGTGTACTTAGGTCCTTCTGCCTATTCTGTTCCCTGCTCTGGCTCTGGTGGATTCTTCTCACTCTCCCGCACTTCTGACTGTACCCAGTGCTTGTATAAAGAAATAAATCTTTTTTGAAAAATAATTCTTTTGTATCACTTTTTTTTTTTTAAAGATTTATTTATTTCTTTATACAAGCACTGGGTACAGTCAGAAGCGCGGGAGGGTGAGAGAGAATTCACCAGAGCCAGAGCAGGGAAGAAACAGGCAGACTGACAAAACACACTTCTGAGGGGAGCAGCGGGAGTGGCACGAGAGGTCTGCGCGCCCTGTGGGACCCTGGCCAGAACCGGCACTGCAGAGGCTGCTTCGCAGCCCAGAGCTCAACCGCTGGGCCACGGGGGAGGCCCCTGTATCACTTTTTTTTTTTTTAATTTTAATAAGAAAATTGTGAAGGAATTGTAAACTGGATCTGTGAATTTACAAATACCTGTATTAAGCAGTTTTAACAAAAAAAAATTGAAAAAAGTTTTTCTACTCCATTTTTTCATTGCTCATGGACCTCATATTTGTACCACTTTGTCTTGTCATATGAAAACTTACTCTATTATTTATTTTAGTACTTTATCTGGCACACAGGTATGTGGATTGTAGTTGGATAGTTTGATTAGCGATATCTAAATCTGAAAGTTCTAATAAAATCATTTTTAGTTTATTTGAAATACCTTTAACTTTGGTTTTTACAGCTTTTACAATTCTTCTGGTGAAGTAAATGAACAAGCACTGAAGAAAATATTATCAAGTGTCAAAAAGGTATTATCTGATGTATCTTCTTTTTTGGTATTATATTTCTTTTTTTCAGGTCCTAAAAATGTGTAATACCTTAACAGAACTTTTAAGCAGCATTTATCTTTACAATGTCCTATAACACAGGCAAGGAAAGGCTTGTTCTTCCAGAAATCCAAGATTGCTCTGAAAGCAAAACCAGTCATTAAAAGTATTAATCTTGTTCTCATCTTACCTTCAACTACTGTAACATTGATCTTCCTCTCTATATTTCCACCATACCTCTTTCTAGTACAATTTATTCTAGCATTTAAATCTGTTACTATTATTCTGTTACTATTACTGTTACTATAGCAATTACTATATCTGTTACTATTCTAGCATTTAAATCTGTTACTATTATTTTACATAGCTGCGGTTAGTCTTTATCCAGCAAGGACAATTTCTTATACAGCACCTAATCTGAATCCTCCACAACATGGTTGGTTAGTTGAAACTTGTTGAATGATCAAGATAGATTTTCCAAATACAAATTTTTGATGTACTTCTTCCTCTTAAAACTTTTGGAAAAAAAATTTTTGTTTTTAAATCCTTTTTTAAGGATTTTTAAATCCTGAGTTAAGAATGAAAGTAGATATAGTAATATTAAGTCTGTATCAGAAAAAAAAAACACCTTTTGTTGAAAATGACTGGGCTGTGCCCCAGTTATATTTGGTTTATTTCAAATGTACCTGTAAAAATGTTTTAGCTTTAAAAGAAGAGAAATAATTTTAATTTCATCAATTTAAATATGCAAATATAAAACTTAAGTTACTGAAAATGTTACAAACAGATCCTGAGGTGAGATGGTTTCCTTTGTTACAAATACTAAGTTTTTAGTAAATCAGATTCCTTTCTAATAATTAAAAAAATGGTTTAGTAATACTAACACTAATGGTTTAGCATGTTAGTTTACAAAAATGTTTATTAAATCTTGTTCAATCTTGACATTCACTATGGGGCAAGTAAAGCAGTCCCATGTAAATTTCAGTTAAAAATTACTGGGTTCACAATGGAATAGACTGGAGAGTCCAGAAATAAATCCACTCAGATAGGAGAAGTTTATCCTTTTGACAGAGGAGCCAAGATAATACATTGACAGGAAAGACTCTCCAAAAAATAGTGCTGGAAGACTTAACCACATGAGAAAAAAATAAAAATTAAACTCCATACACAAATCTTAATTCAAGAAATGGATTAAGATTTGCCTCTCACTGCTCCCAGCTCAACATGGTTTGTGTCCTGAAGAGTGAGTTTGGTTCTCTACCTTGGTCCTGGAAGAATAAACTACAGTAGTTCAGGCACTGAATTCAGAGGATTGCAAGGGGCAAACACAGAGCACCTCCTAAACATCAGAGACCAGTGCTAACTGCACAAGAAAAAAGACACACTGAGGAAATTTAACTCTAGGCAACAAAGGTGTGTGGGGATACAGATCTGTTGAGGCAGAAATCTCAATTCATCCATGCACCCAGGGAGGAAAGAGCTGCTTACAGTGGATCTAACAGTGGGGAGATACGTAAGAGCGTGTTACGATGAGCCAGGGTGAAGGAACCTTCAGCGAGGAAGACAAAGGTGAGAAAGTTAAAACTCCCCTTACCAACTTCTCTCAGGAATGGCGGCCTAGTGATGAAGCAGATACTGTGAAAGCTGAAGAGTGCTCATAAAGCCCAGCCCGCAGAGTGCAAAGAGAGTGGTCTGTCAGCTATACCACAAGCACAAGCTGCACATACACAAACGATTTTGACCAGCAATGGATCCCTCCAGGACTGTCACCCATCCCCCAGAATATCCAGCTGTAGATTAGGTTTTCCTGACATACAGCACCATCTACTGGAAAAGTGGAAACCCTGTACTCTTAATATATAAAAAACTAATAAATGGGGAAATGGAAAAATACAGCAAACGGCAGCCTGAGTCCTCAGGGGAATATAGGCCACAGGGTGTAACTAATCTCCAGAATCCAACCACAAAGACATGGATGATCTTTTCTTCCTATTAGATAAAAATTTAAAACTGCCATGATAAATTCAAAAACACAGAAAAGCCGATCAAAGATGTACAAGAAAACTCAGAAAAATAAATGAATATCTTGAGAAATAATATTAATGAACAAAAATAGAAATTGATGCTTTAAATGAGAAAATAACAGCTGCAAAGTGTAAAAGTTCAACAGAAGAGATTAAAAAAAAACTCTAGAGAAAGCTATGGAAGTAGAATAGAACAAATGGAACATCAAATCAGTGGCCTCAAAGATGATAATGCACAAAGAATCCAGATGGAAGAAGTAAAAGAAGGGAAGAAATGAAATGCCTAAGAATTAACCTGACTCCATGGGGAAAAGCAATATAAGCATAATGGACATCTCTGAAGGGGAAAAGAGAAGGAACAGAGAACCTATTTAAAGAAATAATATGAGAAAATTTCCCAAGCAGGGAAGGAACTATGTAGACAAGTCCACGAAAATAAAAGAATGCCTGTCTACATAAATGTGTTGAGACCTATCAAGACACACAGCAGTGAAATTTTCAGCAATTCAAAACTAAGAATATTGAAGCTAGCTATGGGGAAGAGGCAGCTAACCTATACAGGAACCAAAATCAGGCTTACACCTGACTTTTCTGAAGAAAAACCATGAGCAAGGAGAGAATAGAGTGAAATGATCCAAATACTTAAGGACCTCTCACATCTAAGTCAATGAGAAAAACATCTAAAAGAAACTGAGCAAGGAAATAGAATGACAAAATTAAGGGCAAAAGGCAATAGCAGATTTTCATATTATCATAATCACCCTAAAGGTGAACAGACTAACCAACCATTTAAAAGACATATTGGCTGGCTGGATCATAAAACAATTCAACTTTCTGCTGTGTCCAGAAAATATGAGCACCAAAGACAAAGACTGGCTCAGAAGTAAAGAGCTAGAAAATAATCCTACAAGCAAATGGGATAGCAGGGACAGCCATATTTTTAACAGACTTTCGGTTTAAAAAGCTAATGAGAGGAATGAACACCATATACTGATTAAGGGACCAATACATCAGGAAGATATAACACTCATCAGTCTATACTCAACAAGGAGCATCCAATTTATAGGGCAAATACTATCAAGTCTGAAAACAGACACTGGAAAAAATAGCTCAGTGGCTGGGCACTTTATCATCCCACTTCACCAGTAGATCAACCAGACAAAACAATCAAGGTCACAATAGTCTTAAACAGAATTAGACTACATGGGCTCAGTATACATCATACCTGAAGACAGCCACAAATACACATTCTTCTTAAGTGTACATAAGACATTATCCAGGATTGACCACATGTTCAGCCACAAAACAAGTATCAGATTCATAAAGATTAAAATCATACCAAGCATCTTTGACCACAACAGTATAGAAATTAACCACAGAAAGAAAGTAGGAAAGAACTCTAATGTGTGGGGATTGAACAACACATTAAGGAAATCAAAGATATTAAAAAGTATCTCCACACAAATGAAAATGAAGACACAACCTTCCACACCTGACAGGACACAACAGAGGCAGTACTAAGAAGGAAGTATATAGCAGTACAGGTCCACATCAAAAAATAAGAGCTCAGATAATCTTATTGTCACTATAAACAAACTAGAAAAAGAGGAACAGACAAACCAAAAGCCAGTAGAAGGACGAGCATAATAAAAACTAAGCAGAAATTAATGAAATAGAAATCAAAGGCAGTCCAAAAGATGAAGCAAACTAAAAGCTCTGACTTTGAAAAAGTTAACAAATTAAGTGGACTCACAGAAAAAGAAAGGAGAAAACTCATAATAGGGAACAAAAATAAGGTTACAAAAGGACATCTCAAAAATTCAAAGAATCATAAAAAATTACTATGACATTTGTAGCATAAGTTGAAGAGCCTAGAAAAGATGGACAAATCCCCAGGAACACAACTAATCAAGACCAAATCAGGAAGAAATAGAAAACCTAAAAATATAAATTGCCAGCAAGGAAAGGAAACATATTCCATGCTGATGGACAGGAAAAATTAATGTTATTAAAATGGCAATCTTGTCCAAAGATATAGAACAAACATTACTGAAATTCATATGGAACCACAAGATTCTGAATAGCCAAAGCAATCCTGACCCAAAAAAGGTGGGGAGAATAGTGGTATCACAGACCTAAACTTCAAACTATGCTACAAAGCTATAGTAATCAAACATCATGGTACTGGGATAAATACATTGACCAATAGAATAGAATTGAGAGTCCAGAATAAACCCATACTTACATGGACAATGAATCTACAACACATGCAAGAATACATGTTGGAGAAAGGAGACCTCTTTAATAAATGGTGTTAGGAAAACTGGACAGCCACATGATAAAAATAAAACTAGACCATTATCTCCCAACATACACAAAAATTAACTCAGAATGGATAAAAGACTTGTATGTAAGACCTGAAATCATAAAATACATAGACGACAACACTATGTATAGGCAAAACACTCTGTAATACATGCTTCAGAGATGTATTTTGGGTTCTCCAACAGCAAGGAAAACAAAAGAGAGTATGAACAACTGGCATTCCATCACTGAAAAGCTTCTGCTTTTTCACCATTGTGGTGAAATAAGTCAGAAATGAAAGACAGTTACATACATGGTCTCATTTGTGGAAGATAAATAACCAAAGAGAAAAAACTAGCAAAACAAGAATAATTCCTAGATTCTAAGTAATATACTGGTTACCAGAGGCAATGGGAGCAGGGGGTAGGAAAGTGTCAGGGTTGCGGCACTGGAACTTTGTTGGAGGGTGAGAGACGTTCATATGTGGTGGTGTGAATACATCCTCCCAAAATTATATGGTTAAGTAAACTAGTGGCAAATCAGTAAATCTTGACAAAAAAGCCACTGGATTCAGTTTACCTTATCTAATTAGCAAACAAGGTTACCTACACAGGAAGTAAACTTGTTTCACTGACATTTTCTTTTAAATTTTGACTACAGATTAAGATTTTAAGAAAAATGGCCTAAAAGAAACTAGAGAAAATTAAGAATTTTTTTCTCTCTAGTGTATATTGAATAATACTGTAACTAAATTGTATACTTAACTATATGCTTTGTTTATCTCAGTAAATACTAAGTCATTTTAAAAACTGTCAGTTTTATTACCTAATTATGACAATAACGCATACTAATTATAACCATTAAACTCTGCACTTGGTATTTTTTTCTATATTTTCTTTCAGGATGTGGTTGGTTGGTACAAATTCCGACGTCATTCAGACCAGATCATGACATTTAGAGAGCGATTGCTTCACAGAAACTTACAGCAGCATCTTTCAAGCCAAGAACTTGTTTTTCTGCTATTAACACCAAGTATAGTAACTGAAAGCTGCTCTACTCATCGTCTGGAACATGCCTTATATAAACCTCAAAAAGGGTAAATGTTGGCCAGTCACAGGCTATCTTAAGCTGGTATCTTTAGCTAATAGAAAATTATACCCAATATTTTCATTGTACTTTTGCAGATTACTAAATATTTCCTTATATTATTGCATCAGAATGTCACAATAATCCTCTGAAATCAGTCTTACAATCTGTTCTTTACAGATGTGAAAAATAAAGAAAATTAGATAATTAGAAGCCAGTTTCAGAATGCCTTTTGTTTCTAGTACTAAAGATTTGCAGTTATTTACCATAAAGTGGACCAAAAAAAAATGGCTGCTAAAGGATATAATGTAGAATGGCTAGGTATCTGAGCAGCTTTTCTAAAACCTCTGCACTAAAACAAGGTAGTTCTTGATCCACCAAATGAGTTCATAGGGACCCTCCACGGGTGATAAACACATTTTCGTGGATCACAAGAATTAAGTTGAGAGTACCAAGGTTAATTTTATTATTTATGGAAGTAAGCTAGACCTCAACAATACTGCCTTATTTTTATATGTGCCAGTTGTTTGAAATAGCAATTAAAGAATCTTTTCACACTGCACATCTCACAGCTTTTAAAAGCCATTTGCCTCAAGTCAGTAAATTCTGTCTTGGGTAGCTGATGGGAATGGTTTGTTTGTTTGGTTTTCATTCTTGTAGGAGGAAGTAGTCTATACTAAAGGGTAGATATTAGTTTTTCACTTTATTCTAAATTTATATTTTAATTTTTATTTCTTCAGACTTTTTCATAGAATACCTTTAGTTGTGGCGAATCTGGGCATGTCTGAACAACTGGGCTATAAAACTGTGTCCGGCTCCTGTATGTCTGCTGGTTTTAATCGAGCAGTGAAAACACACAGGTGAGATTCTGCAAGTGCTTCCCTAGTAAACCTACTCGTACTCATTTTTTTTAAATTAACTTATATTGCATAATAGAAAAAAAATGAAAGGAAAACTAATAACCACATTATTCAAGTAAACCACACTCTTTTTAACTTTCTCCCTATTTCCTTCTAGCACTTGTCCATTTATGAAATACAAGAGAGGGACGTTGTTGAATATCCTGCATATTTTAACATATTTAGTCTAAACATAAACAGTCATCCTCAAAATAATAACTGCTGCTTTTTTCTAAGGCAGTAGTTCAGATTAAAGGTATGAAATAAGACTGGATATTAAATAAAGCCAGAAAATGATGATTTAGCCAAGACTCACTCATTGAATAGGTTGTTGAGGTATCAATTTTTTATGGTCATTAAGGGAAAATTAATGTCAGAAATAATACTGATACGATAAGGGGATATAGTGTAAACTATTGAAATAAGGGACAGATACTATTTTCTTTGTGTCCTACAGTGCTGAGCAGTGTCTCACATTTCATTCTTTCTAAAGTAGACAAATTCACATTACCTCAAACTGGAATGTTTTATAGGCCATGCCTCAGAATGTGTTTTTCATCATATATAAAATAATATTGCATTTTTCAATCAATGATGACTTAAATTCAGTAACTTTTTTAAATTAACAATCCCCATTATCAAAAAAGGAACCTTCATTCCCCCTCCCTCCTTCAGTGTTTATTTTTACTCAATCTGTTTTTTAAGTTTTGGCAATAGTACTTAGGAGGTTAAGAAGTTATATTATTAATATAAGATATGTGAACTGGGGTTTCTGGTTGGTTATGCTGTGTGCAGTAGGTTGACAAAATTATGGTCCCTAAAAAAGCCAGTAAAAATCTTTCATTGCTCCTTAACTATAAATCTAAGCTTTTCATTGTATCGCTGTATTAAAATGAGTTATGTACATTTGCTTGAGGAAATGGTCATTTTTTTACAGCCCTGAATTTTTTAAAGAAGATGGATCTTTAAAGGAGGTACACAAGATAAATGAAATGTATGCTTCTTTACAAGAGGAATTAAAGGTAAGTCATCACATCAAACATTTAAAGACTACTTCTAGAAATTATATCAAAATTATCATGGAAATTTTTTAGGAATAAACTGATATTTGATTAGGTTTTTTTTTTTTTTAATTAGTTTGGCTTCAGGAAAAAACATCTGGATCTTCATGGCCTGCAAAAACCAAAGTCTAGCCTCAATTATATTTTAGCTGTAGCTTGGCTCCTATTCTAAATATATCTTTATCTCAGGTTACAGCATCTCTTATGTGGAACATGTTCCTCTTATGACAAAGGAAGAAGAGAAAAAGACAAAGAAAGTTGGTGGAGATTCAAAATAGCTCTTAAAACTGTGCAGAGCTGTAGTATCACATTCATTCACATTTCATTGACCAGAGTACATTAGATGGCAACAGGCAGGGATCTATAATGCTATTATAGGATAAAAAGGGAAGCAAATATTTGGGGACAAAATAATCATTCACAGCAAAATAAGTTCTACCTCATTGTGTCAGTTTAGATACTTTAAAAAGTAGACATCAGGATGGGAATAGATATGTAAGAGATTTAGCGAGCCTAAGAAGGATAAAGAAGAGGGAACAAGGGCAGGTAGGAAGACTTGCAATTGCAATGCAAGTCTGACACCTGAAGGGAGACAAGGAAGGGAGCATTCAGTAAGAATAACTTTGGACTGCAGGGTCAGAAAAGCTTCAGCCAAACTGACAAGACAATCTTTATCCTACAGGATGGAGTTGTACTAATATCCCCAAGGTGCTAAGTACCACATTTAGGGAAAGCCCTGCCTTAGCACAAATATAGAAAACCCAAAATACTGGCAGGTGGGGCTGCAGTCAACTTTGCCTCTCCCAAAATGAGATCTGAGTAGTATATTTCATGGCTGCTATACTCATCAATGTAGCAGCTGAGAAAAATGAGGTCAAAATATTTTATACTCTAATATTTCATAATTTTTAGTATGAATGATAGTATAGCAATTTTAGAAACTGAAGAAATATCCCACGATTATAGCATAACTACCTTCATTTTGCAATATTCTCCAGTTATTCCCTAACACACACACACACACGTCTGTGTATGTGTGTGTCTATATATATATATATCTTTATATATCATTTTAAGCATTTTTCATGTTGCTACATATTCTTAGTTTTTGATGGCAGTACACCGTGTAACTAAGTTATTAGAACTCTTATGTTAGAAGTACAATCTAGACTAAAATAGGGAATGTAGAATTATATTTTGGAACTTTAGTAACATGGGGAACAACCAGGGAAAAATAGGCTGTTGAGACATCCTAAAAAGTATCCACCAAAACTGGTTTTAACAACCTGTTACCCTATAATTAGAAATAAGTACTTTAGTCTTTTATTGAATTGTCATTTACTTAATGTTAAATGTAATGACTTACATATTGCAAAACAGTGTAGTATGATTTAAATTTTTTTAAATCAAGGAAATAACTCATGAAAAGCCATATATAAATGTGAAGTTTAATATATCTGAAAGCATTTTATGATCTATAAAGCACAATACAAGTACTTGTTACTGAGTTCCTTCAGAAAATAAAATTATTGTAAGTCAAATAATATTTGATATACCACAAAGAATTTGGTATTATTTATGAACCTAGACTATAGTACACAACTTGGAATTTCATCTTTGCCCATAAACTATTTTGCAGAGTATTTGCAAAAAAGTAGAACACAGTGAGCAAGCAGTAGAAAAACTACTAAAGGATGTAAGTAGATTAAAACGAGAAATTAAAAAAAGAAAAAGAGCACAGACTCAAGCAGCACGTAAGTAAAAAAGTTCATACATCACTACTTTCTATGCTTAAAAAGTCTCACTGAACTTGAACTTTGTGAGCCAGCTGCACTAATGAATTTAGCCACCTTAGGATTAAAAGTAATTAATAGTCTTAAAATCCCACTGAACAAAGAACATGGTATAATTCTAACTATACTATTATTGTTGCTATTAAAGAATATAATTTAGTTTTTTTCTTAAGACTATTGTAATACGTGTCATTTTTCTCACTTTAATTTGGTAAAATTGTTTAAAATCTATGATTTAACGAATTTGATAAAAACGTCCTAGAACGAACTTTAGGTTAAATTGTGTTTTGTTTTGTTTTGTTTAGGAGATACGAATATGCAAAAAGAGCCTCAGGAGAACGTTTTTCTTTGTCAAGCTTTACGGACTTTTTTCCCTGACTCTGAATTTCTTCATTCATGTGTTATCTCCTTGAAAAACAGACATGTTTCTAAAAGTACCTGTCAAACCAACCACCATCTCAGTGTGGCAGACAACCTGACCTTAATGGTAGAATACACCGACATTCCAGAAGCTAGTCCAGCTAGTGGTGCACTGCAGGTGACTAAGCGTAAAGCTTTAGATACAGATGATGATTGGCAATTCAAGAGGACACGGCTGTCAGAGACACAAAACAAACTATTAAAAACAGATACTGACAGTAGTAACCAAGAAAAAGCATCCACCGCAAGCAGCCCAGAAATAGATGAAGAGATTGAGAAAATGAAGGGTTCTGGTGACTATCCACAGTCTCCTACTTTTTGATTCTTTTAGGCCAAATGATTTTTGACTGGCTGAAGGATAAAACTAAATATTGCTATTGTTTTGATTCTGTTCAGTTATTTTAAGTCATACATAGATAAGTACATTTATTTCATAAATATTTTAAAAAATATCATGCTTTTATTTTAAAACCAAAACCTTTTTTTCCCATGTAAAAAAGCTTGAACACCTTTTCTTTTAAATTCATACAGCCGTCATTAGAATTGGAAAAGAGACTAGCCTTATTTTCACAATAGAAAATCTAAATCATGGAAATTTTTACCTGTCATTAAAATTCCTACTCCTTAGTGATGAATCTAGAGGTTCCAATTATGGCATAACGATAGTGCATCATAAACGGTAATCTATCCCTACTCTAGTGTCCGCTACACAAAAATGAGTGAATCCAAAATTTGAATACAGAATAAGCTTGGTAATGCAGTGTATTTGGGCACAGCATTTGGTCAATTAAGCTGAAAAATGCTAAAGTGGGGACTCAGAAAAATATATATTACTTACATATGAATGCCTATCAGATTTCCTTTGAATATAAAGCAAAGTATACATTTGTCAACTTTCTGTTGTAAGGCCAGGAACTTTATCGCAGTATAAGTTCAGTGATTATGTAAATCAGTCATAATTTAATCTTTGCAATTCCCAGTTTCTTTAAAGTGAAAAACTTAAATTTGTGAAGCAGCCTCAGTACGAAATGCTACTGGGTTTTTTCATTTCTCAGCACTCTCCCACCCTTGGTCTTACTAAGTTGTTCTAGTCACATCTAATTTAACAAGTATTTTTTAAAAGCCAACTTTTGTTTTTCCAAGTCATTTAATATTCACTGCAAAAACAACTTACTGCTCACATTTTATCAGTACAATAACAAATGAAACTGACACAGTTCTAAGAACAAAATACCTGACTCTTGACAATGCACGGCTCATGGGCTTTAATGTGATATTTAGGAAGGATGTAAAGCCCAGTGTAATCCCGTGAGTTAGTGAAGTGGCAGCTAAGAGACCTTTTGTTGTCTAGTGTTTGTCTTTTCCATACTTGTGAGAATTTTCCATGAAGCATGTATATCACATGAAGCCTTTGTATTTCATTCAGTGGATGAGACTGCAAACACACATTCTGACCATTGTACTTCCATCTGTTACTAAATAATAGATTCATAGCTACTATCAAAAGCTGTCATCTTTTATCTGTGTAAATATGCATTACCATGGAGTGCTTTTGAAACCCACATAGCATTATAGATGATTTGTACAAATAATGAGTTTCTGCTGGGATTGATTTACTGATTACTGTGATGTAGTGCAGGGCAGAAGGAGTGGAAATATGCTGTCAGTCTAAACCCTAATTTAATTACAAACACAACCAGAGCATACTAGAACTTATCACACAACACAATGATTGAATTCAATCAACAAATTAATAAAACGATATACAAAGTAGACTAGGAACTTAGAAGCAGCAAGCCAACACGCAAATGTCTTCTGAAGACAAGATTGAGATTTTTTTTCAAAGACTGCTTACTTACTGAAATAAAAGTCTACATGGGTCTTCGTACAAGCTCAGTTTGCTAAATTGCTATGGAGAAGCTACAAAAGTATTAAGCTCATTTTTGCACAATTACCAGTCTCCTTTGAAGACAGCACTGCTAATAAATTTAGTGAGAAGCTTGCTGAGGTCAGTACACAGCCATGTTTCCATAATTGAGTTAGATGACCCAACTTTCAAGCTATCCAATGAAAAGGAGGAAAAGTGTCCATTATAGGACATTTTTCCCCCAGTTACTCATCTTTTGGAATTAATTTGCATTACTGGAGTAAGATAAAGTGATGTAACAGACTGCCTGTATAGTGTATTTAAAGGACACTACCAAATTTGGAATAGAATAGTCGTGGAGTAAATACCAGGTTCTGTGATATCACCACAATACATCCTCATGACCCATGTAACATCTCCACAAACCAAAGACCCACTGTCCTAGCCAGGCACATATGATAGTTAGAAAATCTTCCTGAGTAATTTCAAGTCCATATCCTGTTACATGTGATGGGTCTATTACACAAGCATTTTATTTTTCCTACACCCATGTCCCTAAAATCTCATAAGACAGAATCTGGGCCTAAAATAAAATTTCAATAAAGCATCACTTCCATGTTTTATATCCCCATACTAGAGGTTTACTATTGTATGAATAGTATGAGCCTATTGTATGTATTGTATGAATGTATTGTATGTATTGTATGAGCCTATTGTATGTATTGTATGTATTGTATGAATAGTATGAGCCTATCTGGGGACTAGACAAAAATGACAATCCTATAGCACCATTTTTTTTTTATTCATACATGTAAAAAGTAGTAACATTTTTAAAAAAATTTTTTAAAAGATTTATTTTTATACAAGAACTGGGGTACAGGCCAGAGGCGCGGGAGGGTGAGAGGATTCACCAGAGACAGAGCAGGGAGCAGAACAGGCAGACTGACCAAAATACACTGCTGAGGGGAGCAGTGGGCGAGACAGGAGAGGTCTGCCTCGCCATGTGGGTATCTCCCTGGCTGGCCAGGAATCAAACCTGCGCTGCAGAGGCTGTGGACAGCTTCATAGCACTGTGCTCAACCCGCTGCACCACCAGAGAGGCCCCCAAAGTAATAACATTTTAAATTATGTTTTCTTAACATTCATTGGTATGAAGAGGAAGCTTCACTCCTGAAACATTTTTTCCTAAGTTTTCAAATTAAGTTAAAAACTTAGTTTGAGAAGATTTAGTATACTTTCTATGCAAAGTTTATTAAATCTTAAGACTCTAAATTATTATTAGCCTCACACAACCATTCATGTAAAATAAGTTTATTGATGATAACATAATTTACTCCCTATATTTGATATTACAAACTTTAGGGTCTTTGAGATATGCAGGATCCTTGTATGTAACTGGCATAAATCCTGTAAAGAGATAATGAAAGTTCTTCACAAAAGATGAGCAATATTTTGATTAGCCCAATTCAGTATTTCAGACACACTTACCCATTATTTGAGCTCTCTTTATTGCTTTTGTGATTTCTTTTTGTTTCTTCCCACAAAGACCTGTAAAAGGAAACTTTCCTAGTCAATAATAATTATTATTTAAATACATCAAGGAAAGGCTGGAAAACTTGTAAAGAGCCAGATAGTAAATATCTTAGGCCTTGTAGGTCATACAGTTGTTTCCTAACCATTAACTCCGCTATTATAGCTCACAAAGCAGCCACAAAAACTGTGTAACTAGAGCAGTAGGCTCCTGATTTAAATACTTAGTCTAGCATAATTATAGTATACTCCAAAATAACAAGGCAATTTTTTAAGCCCAAAGTTTCTACATGTCAGCATGGTTAACTATGAGCATAAAGATACACAAAATAACGCTTTTGGCCTAAGAAGTGGCTTTCTCAAAGTACCTGTAATATCTGGTCTGATGGTGATTTACAGCACTATTTGAAAATCTTTTGAGTTCTATTAAATAACAAGTTATTTATAAATAAATAACAGATTTATATCATTATTAATCACATGTAAGCTGTTAACAACAGAAAGCAAATACCTGTTATGTGCCTTCCATAAATGCATCCAGTAAATGGAGAAATAAACTGGGACAAAAGCTGTTTTGAGTTTATTTGGAAAAAGAAACAAAGTTGTGTTAATACATTTGTTATTCAACCTTGACTATAAATTGAAGAAAATTTTATGTCAGCTTCATATTATGTAAAGGTTTATTAATAAACTTCAGATAAACTTCATAAAATGAATTAAAATATTGAACTATGTTCATCCCATTGGGTCATCTTTTTAAATCAATTACTAAAACTAACAGCTTTTATGTCCAGTGTGTCAAAAAAGTATGTGAGAGATTAATGAGCATATTCTTTCAGTGCTAAAGCTACTTTAACTTTTTCACAGGTATTTGTCTAAAGTAGCACTTGTAACAGGTAATAATTAACCTATCATGACCTTGTATCACATAATATCAGGCATAGTTATCAATATGTTCATGTGGATTGAGCCATCTGTTTCATTTTATGTTTTATTAACAAATTATTCTTTAACACTTTTCCAGGTGCCAGGCCCTGTTCTTGGCACTATGAGTAATTTTCTTAGTACCTTGCATTTAAAATTTTCTTGGTTTTTCTCTAGGGCAATTGTCACTTTAACTAACGTAAGTGTACTTAAACTGCAGCACCATTTTCTACCCCAAATTTGCCACTTTGATAATGATGGCAAAGCACAGATCAACCTCACCACATGAGCTTTTTCCAACAACTGAAAATCACTGCTATAGTGAGGAAGAAACTTTGAACTAAAGTAATAATTGAGACACAGCCAAAGAGTGCTTATTTGAACAAAAGTTGCCTAAACATAAACATGAAAGATTTGAAATTATCAAGTTGCTAAAAGTTACTTCTACCCAAAATCTGTTACAAAACTGACTTGGTTTTCTTTAGAAAGGTCTGATAATGGAGCAAAATCAAGTTAAATCAAGTATCATGATGAAATAAAGTGAGAGCTCACCTGTACATTCTTATAATCTACACGTTTTCCACACAAGATACATTTTTTAAGAGGCTCCTTATAAGGGTTTTCCATTGGAATGGGCTAGGTAAAGGGAGAAAAAAAAAATGATGGTTTAATGTGTTAATTTTGAATTAAAAAACAAACTCAAGGTTACTACATTTAGATGTCCCCAAAGGATTACGTATACCCTTCTTACTGATGAATATAATAACTTGGCTTGTAAAGGAAAAATCAAGTACTTCTGAAACAGATTCACCATTTTAAATATTTTGTTGGGCTTGTACTTTATTTTGTCTTAGTTTGGCTAAGAAGGAATTAAGTTAGGAAGGATTCTGGGGTAAAATACAATCTTTGGAGAAAAAAGTTCAAATATGCATTTGAATTTTTACTTCACTGTAAAGTAACTCTCTTGAAATGTTCTGCCCACACTGTAGAAGACCATAAAATTCTTAACTTAGATTTAATTCAGGATAAAAATAGGTAACATATTCAGTTAAGTTCTTAGTATAGTCCCTAAATCTATCTTTGCATCTATCAGGTGTTTATCAATAGACAATGCTTCTTTTTGGTTTTTCTGTCTTCACTACACCATCTCATGCAACTGTCACAATGTCCTGCCTACAATCAATGAGTCTCTAAAGATTTACTAACTCTTGAAATGGCTTTGAAGTCCTTGAACCACTGTAGTTGTATGCAAACTTTCAAATGAATGAAACTCTGTGCCTTGTTCTGGGGGTTTATAGTTTCCATTGGTCTCAGTGGGGTTTATGACCTAAAAAGAAACTCTAATAATTTTCTTTACTCTCTTGAACTATGGTGTGATGAATCAGATCACCAAGATAGATGCTCAGAGGGACTAGTTTTTGTTTAATCAACTCTTTAAACTCTTCCAATTTAATTTATAAGCAGCTCACGTGTCATGAGTATATTCCTTTTCTATACTGTGCTAAATGCTTTATATGTTCTAATAGTGCAAAATGATGCCTATAGCAAGAACACCTACACTGCTCAAATTCAGTGCTAGTACTTGAAACCCATAAAAATATATCTACAGGTTGGAAGTAACATTAATTGGCCTGGTACAGAATTTGATCATTTATTAGAAGAGCTCTCTCCTCCCTCAAGTGGTGAATGGGAAAAAGAATCGAATTTGAAATGGGAAGAGAGGCAACCAGTAGGTAAACTTTGTACAGTACCTTTGTTGGATTACCTGTAATTGTTCCATATACGGAGATGACCTTTTTTAAATTCACAAAGCATATACTAAATACAAGCTCAAGGAAGAAAATATGTTATTACAAAAGTCAAGCTTCTTGTTAGGAATTCAGGAATTCTCTTACTTCAAAATCACTTGTGATTATTCATTGATGAGTAATGATTATTAACTGTTCTGGCAGCCAGCTGAACTCCATTTAACTAAATACAATAATTTGGTCATATTTACAAATACCTAATAAAAAGGAAGAAAAAACTTACCATGTCCTCATTGCTTGTTATCTGTTGATACTGTGAATAATTTTTCCAAAACACTGCAGTAAAACAGAAAGGCAACAAACCAGTTTATTTTTTGTTGTTATCTGAGCCAAGTAAAGATAGATTTTATTTTTTATTAAGACAAAATGAATCAATACAACGTAAAAGATTTCGCATTCATTACACTCACAATGACAAGATAACCTTTAGGTGTGAGGCAGAGTAATACTGCAGATGGGCCTGATTCCCAGACTTTGGGGAGAGGGCATTTATTCCCCACCCATACAACCTCCAGTTGCTCTCTTCTTGAAATTTATTTTCCCTTCACTGCAGGCACATTCAAATGCAAATACTTAGGGACAAGCAAGAGAAAGGTGGGTCCTACCACCGGAAGAATTAGTAACAGGCTACTACAAAGAGTAGTTATTGATAAGGAAACATGGAGATGATGGATTCAAGGGTCTATGTCACAATTTTGCTCTGATCTGGGATATCCATGGAATCTGCTGTTGGATGACTCTGGAAATGTCCATTCTTTACCAAGTTTACCTGGGGATCTTAGGTAAGTCCCTGACTTTTTGATAACACCCCATCACTCTTCTATGGTGGGGTGGGGAGTGTGGGGAGTGTGTGTGTGTAACGAAGGACATCCTACCTCCCCTTAAGATTAAAAATACTAGTCTTGGGTGATTACAGATTTCTACCTGTCTTAGAGAAACGCTTAATCCCCTAGAAGCCGGAGTCCCGAGTCTGCGGTAGAACAGGAATTTAGCACAAAAGCTGCCGCCCCCCTCTTTCCCCATCCAATAACTAAAAAAACTAGTATGCAAATTCCAAAGCAAAGTGACCCAAACCCTATCAGTTTAGAAACTTACCTCACTCTGGACACCACTAGCTGTAAAACTTCTCCTAACTTAAATCAGTAACAAGATGTTAAGGCCCAGTAGTCTTGTTAAACAAAACTGGTCTGAACCCGCTCAGGATTCTATCAGTGAGCCCATCTCCTCAAATTTCTATCAGCAGCCTTAAGATCCCAAGGGCCATTCTTCCTTGAATTTGCCCTCACTCTCCTAAGTGCGTACTATCACTCAACAATAAAGCTTCATTTCTAACTCATCTGTTCTGACTCCCGCAAGAATTCTTTCCTACCCAGAAGAACATCCAGGGTCCCCCGGCACCCCTGGGCCCCATCAATTCTACCAATCTAATTGAGAGTAAGGCAAAGGCTACACAGCCACAATACAGTAGCGGATATAGACATTTTACCCGTGTGAGTCCCCGGATGTGTAAGACGAACAGTAGTCTTTAAAAAGTGCGTCAACTTTGTCCTCCCTAGACCACTACAAACAGCAAGCACAGACGCCATGTTTCTCGCCCCTCCTCTTCCTTTCCCTTTTCCTAACCGTCCTGACAAGTCCCTTCCGGTGCTCTTCCCCGCCTGGCCCGGGAACTCTATTCAAAGGTTCCGGGGGCAAACCCCCTGCACCAGAAAAAAAGGAGCCGGAGATGTTTTCAGTGCGCCTGCGCATCACCTTCCGTTCTCAGGCTGACGCGCGGCGCGATTCCGACGCGTACGATTGAAAGACAAGGCGGCCTCTTAGGCTGCTGCCGCTGCTTCTGGGGGACCCCTGACGTTGACGCTGCTGTCTTTCCCATAGGTAGACAGAGGCGAATCGAGTTTTCCACTGTTGCTGTCAGCATCCGGTCCTCCGCTCACGCCCCACGCTGGGGTTGGCGGCTGGATCGCGGCGGGTGACGGAGGGCAGGGCCCTTGGCCCCTGCCATGGATGAAGGTGGTTCTTGCATCCGCCGGCGAGTGTCTGTCCGCAAGAGGAACCGTGCTAGCTTAGGGAGCGTTTGTGCAGCCCCCACCGCAGCTGAGCTCAGGCCCGGTGATGAAGAGAAGGTGGAGGAGAAGGAGATGGTGTTTGAAAGCCGGCGGCGGAAAACTGTGGGCGCGCAACCTGCCGAGGTACACACAGCCCTAGCCCATGGGGGCGATAAAGCGAACCCAGATATTCTACGGTGCATTCCTGCGGATAATGGAATGGGAAACCGCACTTGGAACTTGGCAGCTGTAAAGTTTAGCTATTCCGGTTCAGGTGCAGACATTTGACCAGTTACTAATCTGCTAGCCTTCGTATGCATTGTTCTATCTGCTAACCCTCTTTAGCTGTTGTTTCCATTTTTGTGTAGATGTAAAACGTACACCCCGAGACATGAAACACATGCAGCAAATATGTGTCATGACTAAGAATCAAACCTAGACTTCGAAGTGACTGCTGCTTCCGTAGTAATAATAAAATCTACCATTTTTTGCAGATCTCTTATACGTTGGATTACTCTGTTAAGCTGTTTATATTATCTGATTTTACAGCAGATCAGACCTTAAAAATTTTAAGAAATGCTCTCCTGACTCCAAGTCCTGCGTTCTTAATTCACTGTATCGTTACCTCCGAATTCGCATTTCTTTTTTTTTTTTTTTTTTTTTTGGTAGACCAACCCAAGTCCATATGTAGACAGACCCTCTCAATTCTAATGTCCCAGGAAGAGAATATTCCTGGAGTTTCCACTGGTACAGCATGATTTTGTTACAAGTCGATTTCTGTGAATTCGATTCTGGCAAGGGAAGAGTTTCTGCAGTTATCAGAAACTTGTAGTGAGATAACATTCCAATAGATGTATCAGTCTTGCTATCATTTAAAGGATTTAGCACTGAAGTAAGAATTAGAGCCCAGCATTGCCACATACTACGAGTGCAATTTAGACAAGTCACTTAATTTCTGTGGGCCTCCCTTCTTCATCTGTAAAATAGGGATAAGATCTGTTTCACAAGGTGATTATATTTAGGTCTGTGAATGGTGACCATATAATTATATATCTAGTATAATCATAAGCTGAAACTCTTATTCTTAATGAAGCTACAATTGGCCATATATCTTTTTTTTTTCTTTCCAGCCTAATGACAGTGAAGAGGACATGTTTGGTGACTATGACAGCTTTGGTGAAAACTCGTTTTTAGTTCAAGCTGATGCTGTGGAACAAAAATATATGCAACTTCCTGAACATAGAAAACATACTACAGACCTTAGCACTGAAGATCTTTGTTTAGAAAACATCAAACACAACAAACTCAGCAATGCTAGTGTAGGCAACTTTACTGAATTAAAAGTGGATGAGCACACAAAAAACCCGAGTGAGCATGAAGATGTTTCTACTGAACCTGGAGTTGATATTTTGTATGACATACCTTCTTCACAAGTTTTATATTTTGAAAATTTGCAGAACTCTTCAAATAATTTTGGTGATCAGACTACTAAAGAGAGGGATTGGAAATCATTGTCTCACCAGACTGTGAATGAAGAATTGCCATGTGAGATCATAGAGCAACCCCAGCAAATTGATGAATCCTCTTCTGAAGTCAAAACTAAATCAGATGTGAATAGAAGGAAGAGTATTAAAGATCATCTAAAAAGTGCCATGACTGGAAATGCCAAGAAGGTCCAAACACCATTATTTTCTAGGACTAAACAACTCAAAGAGACTCTCCTATCTGAGGAAATTAATGTTGCTAAGAAAACAATTGAGTCATCATCAGATGACCTTGGTCCTTTTTATTCATTACCCAGCAAAGTGAAAGACCTTTATGTTCAGTTCAAGGGAATTGAAAATTTATATGGTAATGCTTTTTGCTGGCATGAAAAAAATATATTACCACCATTAACCATAATTTTAGTGCAAATCCATAGAAAGCAGATGCTTCCATACCCATATTACTCATCTTAAAAACAAAGTATCAGTCCCTTCTCAGCTTTCCAGCCCTATCTTGCTACTATTGACTCTCTTTCCTTCCCTTCATGATTATACTTCTCAAGCCAGTTGTCCTTGCTTCTCCCTTTCCTGTCTTCAAATCATTTCCAGTTCAACTGTGCGTTTTATACTCTTGTAAGATATATAATGAATAGGGTGTCTAAACCCAAATATATTTTTTAGCCACCATACCTGTCTTGTCAGTAGTTCACCTACACTTTCTTGACTTATGATACTGCACTCCTAGTTTTCTCTCTGCCTAACTCTTCCTCAGTTTTCTTAGTTGATGGTTCCTTAACTGTCCACTTGCTGAAAACTAGTTGTTAAAATGTCTCTGAGTATGTCTGGAGTGAAGGAAATCGTTATATAATACCACTAATTAGAACTAAACATCTTTAAAAACAGCTAAAGTTAATTTAAGTGCAAAGAGATAGTAGTATTAATAACAATGTATCTTCTAATGCTTTTCAAAAATACTGGGTCCTTGCATGTCTTGTAAATGCTTGTCATTTTTGACAAAGAAGAGACAGTTGCTGCCTTATTACAACATCAGCCTATCAGCTGGTCATAGTGTTTCTGAAACTTTTAAGTTAGTATCTTAAGAAAACATGGATTCTCATCTCAGGGAGAAGATAATCAAATTGGAGAACTAGGACTACAGAAAACCGTCTAATACAAGGCTCTCCAAGACTCTAATTTCAAATTGTGAGACCGGCTGTTTAAGAGCTAATGGTGTGTTTTGCCCTTGAAGTAGATATTAATTTTCTCCCTTTTGCTTTTCTTCTAGCACCTTGTTCTTTGCTTAATCTGCATCTCCTGGCAGAATGAGTACCCTGAGGACAGGGCTCTATTTAATTCACCTTTTTCTTATGTAACTAGCACTGTACCTGTTCTGCTCTGGTAGGTTCTCAACTGCTGGGGGTTGTCAACCTAGTATGAATTCTGGCCCTGTCACTTAAGTACAAGATTAACACTCTGCGCCTTAGTTCCTGATCTATTAAAAAGGGGTACTAATAGTAATGATACTAATAGTTGCTTTGCCAGTTATATTCTTTGTCAAGGACAGGCCACATTGGACTTTGGCTCTCAGTAATTGGTAACTTCTAAGTAAGAATGTCAGTAAATAACAACTTTTAAATCTCCTTTTACTTATAAATCTAGTTTAATAACATGACCAATGTAATGCATAAATATGTGTGCTACTTTTCATTGAGCTAAGCAGTGGTTCTCAAAGTACAGTTTCTGGAATGCAGGGTGTCACCTGGGAATTTGTTGAAATGCACTTTCTCAGGCTCCACTGCAGACCTACTGGCTCAGAACCTCTGGGGGTAGGACCTGACAATGGTCCTAACAAGCTCCCCAGGAATTCTGATGTGCTAAAAGTTTGAGAACCGCTGAGCTATAGAACCTCAATCTTACGCTGTTATATTTACCTTATAATCATAGAATTCCATATTTAATGTGCTTTATATAAATACTGAGAACTAAATTAATGTAATTTTTTTAAGGTGTGAAGAGAAATTATAATCTAACTATTTGTTATTTTGGTCACTTTGTACTTTAAAAATCTGAATTGGGTAAATTGTGAATATGGCCAAGATGTATCTATACAAGATGTAAAAAAGTACGTAATTTGAAAATATTTGGGGATTACCAAAGCACAATAAATTTAAGTAACTTATCATTCAGATAAAACTTTTTAATACCACTGTTAATACAACCTGTTAGGCCTTTTTATTTTGAAATCATGGAATATATTCAAGGCCAACTTCTGTGCATATATCCTTTTCCAGTATCTAGCATAATTGGGTTCATTTCAGTTCCTGATGTATTAAAAAGGGGTTTTAATGGTAATGATAATAGTTGCTTTGCAAGTTATAGTCTGAGTCAAGGCCAGGTACTTGGCTGTCAGTAATTGGTAATTTCTATCCAAAACACATTTATTATCTGTTCTCTTCACTTAATTATGTATTTAACATACAGAAATCAATCCACCTTCCATTTTTAGGTTGCAAATAATCATGATCATATAATAATTCATTCAACCTTCACCCCCATCCTCATTGCTTAGTAAACAAGGCTATGATGAACATCACACACATTATATATTTTCGCTTTTAGTCCTAAACTAATCCTGCCAACTCAAAGGCAATGTGCAGTTTTATTTTTATACTTCTATACTGCTTTCCAAAAAGATTGTAGGAGTTTATGTTCCCATAAACAATACACAAGAATGCCTGTTTGTCTCCACTCTAGATTTTGCATAATTGGGCTTTTTTTTGGGGGGGGAAGGGTTCCTGTTTTTTATTTGTTAATTTACCAAAATAGTAGGTAGCAGTTGAACATCTTTTCATGTGTTTGCTAGCCATTTGCATTTCTCCCTGCTGTGAAATATCATATCTTTTGCCTTTTCTTCTAGTGATAAAATATGTGCATCTTGAAAGTTTTGGATAGTCCACATTGTCAAATTACCCTACGGAGTAGTTAATACTGGTTTTTACACTGTATTTTGAATCTGGTCCCTTTTTGTAAATTTTACCTAAAAATAGATCATGAAAATCATATATATGCCAGTTGATAATCCTAGTCTTTGTGGTTTAAACAATTTCAGTTCAGCTCTT